GAAGTGCAAATTCATCCCTATATCATGTCCATATGGCAAGGTGAACCTAGAAGATGCCAACTAAAACACTCGCCTTGCTTTGTAAAAGGAACGTCTCTGCTGTCATAACAAGTAATCTGATTTCAGCTAGTCTTTTACTAGTTTACATTATAAAATGATATGAAACATCTGTTTAGATGCTTTAAGGTACATGAACATTTGTCTCCCACTTACATTTTTCTGTTGTGTTTATTAGATTAGTTTTATTTAATACTCCCCTTTAAAAAAAAAAAAGTCACAACAAATAGATTAAAAAAATAATTCTTCTTGACCTCAATTTTAATTACAGCCGTTGATAAAGTACATACTGAGCTTGAGCAAATATTTATAAGGTATAAAAAATTCAATGAACATATATTCTAGAGTATCTCTGCAGCCCCCTCCTGACTCGGCAAGGCGGCGCTACAATAAGCTTGTGATGCGAATCTGTTTCGGGTCCCATGACCTAAATGCAAGCCTTTAAATAAATAAGAGCGAATATGTTATTAGAAACATTAATTTGCATGGGATTTGAATCTCATTATCTCTCACAATTTGTTTGATCTCCTCACAGTTTGGCTGTCACATAATGGATTTGACGCTTGGAAGAAAAACGTCATTAATACTAATTTTTTCATTTGCAGCACACTGCTTGTAAAAGAATTACAAATGCTAAAATCGAGGGCAGAGCTGAGTGTTGAAGGCCCACAGCAAAACGCAGGCTTCTGTTCTGTATTCTGATAGTCAGCAATGAGAGGGTTATGGGGAAGGTGGTAACGTCAAAGTTTTCCCTGTGCTCCTTTTCGGAAAATCCCAGTCTTCCTGGCTTCTGAAATGGGAAAGTTGGACATATTTTTAATATAAGTTAAATCAGAACAGCTACATTAATATATAACATATAAGAAAAACACTACAATTAAGGACCGGTTTATAATATAGCATTGCACTAATGGCACGGGTTCTATGCATTTAGGATATGTTATTGCACTGCATGCTAGGTGTGCTGATGCATTGTGTTGCCATTCATTGTGGATGGCATCCCACACACCTCCGCCCAGGAGTGCATGCGTTCCAGTGAAAAAAATAACGCATGCACCATTTTCCTTCATCACATGGCACCACAGCACACTCTATTGCAGTACTGTGCATTGCAGCGCAACACCCACCAAGCGTGAGATGCATTTGGGTGACATTCAGAATAAATAGCAACACAACACACCAGTGCACCTGTTTGAAATTCAGGGAACCCGAGCCTGTGAATCCCATTGAAGTCTATGGGAGGCCAATGCTGTTAGTAAGCTCTGGCAATTTTTAGGGATAGTAGGCAAACTACTGTGAAAAAATGCATGGGAAGCTGGGCACTGCCATGGGGGGGGGGACATTTACCAATGCAAAAAATACTGTTCTGCAGGGAGAGGGTCTTTTCGTGTGGCTTTGCGGGCAACATTGAAAATACACAAATCTTATAAATAACATGCTTGGGGGATGCCTTACAGCTGTATGATGTTACAGAACAGTATGATTTATACAGAGCATCTCATCGACAGTTTAAACTGGCAGTGCATATTTGGCTGTGGAATTTGTATTTTTCCTTTACAATTACATGCAGCAGAAGCACCCCAATTTGTTTCATTATAGTTTGAATAAAAAAACTTTTCTCAGGTAGCTTTAGTACTATTGACACATGCTTTTCAATATTGCTATCCGCTGTTCTCGATGATGCAAAACTATCTTGCTACTGGACAAGTTCTATTAAGCACTCATAAAGAGTCCACGGATGAAACTGCCATATAAAATTGCCCAGGAGCAGGAAATTGTTTAATGAGGGAGAATTGGCCGACATGTAGTAGAGAAAAAGAATACAAACAGGTGTTTTACTAAAAAAATTAAGAGACCACAGATGACACAACAGTAGCAGGACAATCTTAAATAGCAAAGCTAGGTCCGAATTTACAAGTAGCAAATCACAGGCTGGGTCTTTACTACAAGAACGGAGATCCTGAAGAAGATACAGCAGTGTAAAATGAACCAGCAGCAGGGCACTTTTAATTAGGGATAATAGGTCTAACTTCTGTATGCCTAACTTTTATTCAGTGATGTGGCTAGGGGGTGCTTTGAATGTGGGTGATATAATGTGACATGATTTAGGTGCACACTTGTATTTAGTCTTTTTTTTCTTTCTTTCAAACGATGCAAAAGCAGCTCCAAGAATAGGTGTCACCCCCAAACGTAAAAAAAAACCTCTATCAACAAAAGGAAAAAATAAAATAAACCCACAATGAAATGAAAACCTAACCACAAAATCTCTCTCCCCCCCCCCCCCCTTCTTGAAACAAATGCCCTTTTTTAAGGAAGCAATGCAGCAAAAAAACTGTAATCTAAAATAAAGGTCATTAAATAAAAAAAAATATGAAAACCCCACAAAACTACCTTCTAAAGAACTTAAAAGTTTTTTAGAAGGTAAAAAGTTTGTTATAGACGGGACAGCAGCTAAAAGTGACCACTGACCTCAACTCAACCACAAAATAAAATGAAAAACAAAAAACTACCACAATAATAAGAACAGCAAAAAAAATCAGGATTAAAGTACAGTTTCCTAACTGCCCTCATCTCTTTCTATGCAGTTTGTCAGCTTTCTGTACAATAGCTTCTAATTTCCTAACACTGCTCTGTGGCCTGCTTTTTATAGTGAGGGAGTTGGTTTAACCATGAACCCCCTTATTGGCCCTTCCCAGCCTGCTGGCCATAGTTCAAAGGCAGGGAATGATGACATTGGAAAAACAATTCTTGTGTGGCATCATCACAAAATTCACTGGGAACGTGAATCTTGAAACTGCAGGATTGACCTCAAACCCATGGTAGTGGTGAACCCCAACCTCATCCCTTCTGATGCAAGAACCTACATGTTCATGGTGCTGACTCTCTCTGTCTGTGCACTGCCTGCCCTCTGCTATCCTCAAGCCTAGAATTAGATGTGGACAGCATAAATGCCTGTGGGGATTTTGCTGACAAGTTGGCCCGTACAGAGCTGTGGATCCTGGTGCACAGGTGTAAGGTGACATTACAGAGCCGTTATAGCCAGTGAGTTCTGAATCAGGAGCATAACCTCTGAAGAGGAATTGGTTACTCTTCTTGGAATTTGTCCTTTAAGTTTGAAAACAGAAGGAGGTATTTGGGAATTATGCTTTAAACTACATCTATCATATGCAAACCCTACTCCCATCTATCCATATGTGAACAAAACCAGACCTATTTTGTTGCCACTTTCTATAACAATGGAACATAGGCGCCTTAAATCATGTGACCTATGCAATCTCCTTTAAATTGTCCAACAACCATTATTGGAAGGACCTACTTAATCCATTCAAATTTATACCCAGTCTGATAGACCATGGCAGTTCATAGCTGTAGGTAAATCTAACTATTTTACAGTGAGATTGTAATATGTGGAAACCTTTCTTTACACCTCTGCTTTGATGGTACTTTGAAAGAAGGTTAAAAACGCTCAAACATGTTGTGATTTTTGTGTGTACTGCTCTTACAATTAAATGCAGTTTTACAAATTTATAAGAGTAGTCACTGAAGAAAGTTACACAGACTGTGTTGAACCGTTATGTAAAAATTTTCATATAATACAAATTTGGTAAAATAACCTTGACTTGTACTAAGCTTTAAGTAAGAAGAAAAAAAAAGTGAAAAAAACAAACAAACTTCAAACCTAGTTTCAACTTCATCTAAAAACCTGCTGCTTTCAGAAGACCTAATATTGTGGTAGATAACCATGAGCAAGATGTGTGTTTCATGAGTTGCATGATTTGTTGTCTCCATCTAGTGTTATTATAGCAGTATGCAGCTTAGCACATGATCTATCATTGCGTTGCTTTTATTTGTTTTTCATGTATTTATTTTTAAGGAAATTTGTTATAAGCGATATACCAAGGCTACCATTATGACCTTCTTGTGAAAATGCCAATTGCCTGGCTAACTCTGTCTTCAATACTTACTAAGTAGCATATGTAGCATACTTCATGCCAGCGGGACCATCTCTGCGACCACTTGTTTCACGCTGCCCCAAATGTAACCAACTGCGCCCCTCTCTAGCCCACTGCCTATGGTTTTGTCCTTCTATCAATGCAGTTTGGACAGAAATCTCTTCTTTCATCACCACCATTGTGGCATGGTCGCCACCCAGATCTCCAATGTTGTTCTTGTTCAGTGCATCATGTGACTCTCTGGATGCAACCCCCCATTCTGAGCGCAAAGGCCCAAACTGGATACATATCTGTTTGCTGGTGGCATCTAGGAGATGTATAATGAAGTCTTGGAACGCATCTTCTGCCCCCCAGTTATCAGAGGTTGTGGGAGAACTCAAATTGTTATTTAATAGGGAAAGGTTGGATGCAGGACTGAATAAGGATATAAAAACATCAACATTTTTCAGGCGCTGGCGATATTTTGCTGCTGCCACTTTTGATAGATCCGAATTGTCTCAAATAATGATACATGGGGCAACCAGCATGGCCCTTATGGCACTCTGCTCTTAGTCTGCATTTTCTTGGTGCCTTTTTTGTTTTGTTTTTGTTATTGTTTTACGCTCATGCTCGAGCTGACTATTTCGTGTTTTGAGACTGTTCTCCTTGACAAAAAGATTCTAATAAAATGTATTTAAAAAAAAATACTTACTAAGTCATTGAGCAGTGAGATGCATCAGGTAAAGTTAAAATAAATAAAGAACCAATTTGATTCCTTGGCAGTAACTGCACAGAAAGCAGGTTAAAAAGCCTACACAACTAATATAAAATAATGTCCAGGAAAATATAACCAGATCCATACTAGTTGTCACCGAATGTTGCTTCTACTGGGCTAGCTGCTTCCTCCAAAAAGCTCTTTTAGCTGTGAGCTGCTAGAGTTCTGCAGATATCTTATATCTCGCTATATCAAAGAGAATCGAGGGTGACATTAAATCTTTTTTCTGTCTGCAGATGGGCAATAAAACATGAAGGTTTATCTAAACCCAGCCAATGGAAAAAGTCGAAAGTGAAAAACCCTTTGTGGAACAAGTTGACTTATTTGTGGCCAGTTCTGCCAAATGGAAAAATTAATGAGGTAATATTGAATTTATTATATTGCATTTTGATGCAGCACTTGAAGGCAAATACATTTAAAACTTGAATGTCTAAAAAATGTGTGTGCTTTACTGGTGAGGCAGAATCCGTGTGTGTCACAAACAGGCAACAGAAGTCCCTCACTGAGGCACAGCCTAAATCCCCTAGTGATGCAGATTTTGTGTGCAGGATGCCACTAGAATGTGATCCTTGGGATAACCCAGGTTGTGGCAGCTGACAGACAGGGACAGAACACCAAAAGTACCAACTTGTAAAGCAAAGACAAGGCCATAAGACAGGAGAGAAGTCAGGGCAAGCAGCAAACAAGGAAAAGCAGTAGGTGAGGTCAGGCAGAAAGCAGCAATCAAAAATAGTCTAAGTCATAACCAGAGGTCACTGACAGTTCTAGTCAGAAACAGATGTCATTAGTCGTTAACCAGAAAGTTAGATCTGTTATTCACAAATGTAGACTAACAGGTCAAGATATGGAGACTTTGCTCAGGAATTCTGGGAATGCACTGATCCAGATTTACTTGGATCGATTAAAGCAAGGTATGTAGCTGCAGTTCTGTATATTTTCCAGCACATGACAGGGGCACACACCTAGATACAGCAGGTGATAACAATTAAATGGAACCTGTGATCAAGCTATGGACAGTCAAGAATTTACATATTCCTAATGAGCAATAAATGACAAGCCCTCACTAATCTTTGTACCTTCAGGCACTGTAGTGCAATTCATTCTCAATGTTCACAGAATAAGTACTGAGGTCAACTCAGCTGACCCTATTCCCTCCTCTTAGCATTGCTCCCTTCTCCTACCAATGACTCACCAGCTCAGTTGACCCCTCTCCTCCCTCCTAGCAATGGGTACGCAACTCAGCCTACCCTGGTCCTCCCTCCCAACAGTCTCTAATATAATTACAGATCAGGCATTCTGAAAAGGGGGAGCTGAGCTGCTGAGAGAACCACTTTCATGAGTTTGATGCTTCTACTCTGAAATTTGAGTCTGAATTCTTCCACAAATACTGTAGCTACCAAGATAAAAATGACTTATTTTAAAGCATATTTACTACTTGTTAAGAATATGTGAATTACTGTATGTCCATAGCCTGGCTACAGGTTAGTAGTTCCACCGGAAGAGGTTGTTGTAGTCTGATGATTGCAATATATTTACAATAACTATGTAGATGGCAGAGAAACTGTATCTGCATGTTCCTTCATTATTATTCCTGTTTTTTATTATTGCATCTTATTATTTCTTATATAAATATATAATAATGAGTTAAAATTATATCTGGGTAATTTTTAGGTCTGTGCATCTATTGAATGGGCTCAGTGTTCGAGATTACATTAAACTGACTCATCAGTGTGAAAAAACATATTCACTCCATCCAATTTAGGTGGCAGGCTGCCAGATAGTAGGACGATTAGGTGGGGGGTTGTTCTGTAGATGGGGCTGAGTTTTAAAAAATTATTTATGAAAATATTTTTTGGTCCTGACCATTATAAGAAAGACAGAAATTATATACACAAATACTACACATGCCCATTGTTAACTCTATAACATCTTTTTCTTTTAATGTTTGTTAGAAATTTGATTGGCCCATTCAAGGATCACTCATAGCAAACAGTCCACCTCTGCAGAGACCTGCCTTCAGTCATCCGGACAGCCACACCCCTGTGAAGCTTAAGGTTCTGAGGAATGGGGATTATGACCTAAAAGGAGCCTGCGTCATTGTGGGACCAAATCTAACCAATATGCTCAAGAAACAGTGAGTTGGTGCAGCTAGTCATGAATGTGTTGAACTATCCTTATTATGAGGGCCTGTGTGGGTGGGTATTTTTTCATGTCAGGACTTGCTTTTCTCCCCACACAACTCAACGGGAAAGCAAAAGCAGCTTATAAGCAAGTCAGAAGGAGATCAGTGTGTCTGCCAATGTAAGTGATCTCAGGAGCATCTCAAACTGATCTCAAGTTCAAGAGGAATGCATCTGAAAGCAAGACAGCATTTGCCCTTTGAGACAAGCCCAAAGCCTAACAACACGGACCCTTTATTGTATAGATGATGATTGTGAATGATGATGTTAAAGCTTTTTATATGTGCTTTCAGAATAAACCCTTTTCCCTCTATGGAAAGAAAAGACCATACAAAGTACATTCATCTGAGTTTGTTCATAGCTTACAGGAGTTCTTTATTATTCTTGCCAATATCTTTGTTCTTTGCCATGAGACAAGGCGAGAGTTGTGTCTCATTCAGTGCCCTCTAGGGGTGCCATGAGATGCATTCCTACTGTATAGACACTGGGGATACAGAATAGGAAACTGACATCCCCATATTCAGGAACATCTCTGCAAAAGCTTTTTCACACAATTTTAATGATTTTTTTTTAGTTTGTAATTTTTTTGGTAAGAAATTCTTAAAAAATGTAACAAATGTTAATTAATTTTGAAAATAGTATGATATGTTAATCACCATGGCCTGAGCATTGTCACAAGATGAATGAAGGGGGGGTGTTTGACATCACCACTCTCTCTAATCTTAAGCGCTAGCCCACCCCAAGTATTTGGTGGCATCAGCAATGGAGGAAGTAGCAGTGGGGAATTGCTGTGAGGTCAGTATATGATGGTCAGGGGTGTGCTTCAGGTAGGCCCTATCACTTTGCTCTGAGTGAGCAAGGTCTCTTTAAGCTTTAAGGTTCTGTTTTTTGGGGTGAAGAACAGGTTAAAGTAAGGATGAGGGCTATAATTCAGTTTTAGGTTAAGTGTAAAAGAGATCATTTTAGGTCTATGATAAAGGGTTAAGGTTAAAAAGAAGGTTTGATGGTTTGACAGGTTAATTGTTATAATTTCTTTTACATGTTTATACGCTGCTTTTATTTCTTTTCTTTTTTTTTTTTACTATTTGTTATTATTATTTCATTATAAAAAAAAACCTATGTATTACTTGTTTGCAGAACATGCTAGGCTTTCTAATTAGAAAGACAAGCACTAAGTTTATGTGTTTTGGCAGACTGCTAATTACCAATTAAGACATTGCCTCCTCCATTGCTAGGAGAGGAGTAGGAGTCGTGTTCCTCCTCTGAGTCATTCAGGTCTGTTTTTGGCACAGCAGCTGAATGAATGGAAGAGACTTCACAGACCTTACATAGAGCTAAACCCATTTTTGTCGCAGCAGCTGAATGAATGGCAGAGACTTTACATAGAGCTAAACATGCTGGCTTCAATAATTTGCAATATTTCATATTAACTTGATGACTTACTGTAACGATCGCGGCTTGCGTTCCACAGGGGGACCGCAGCCGCAATCAGGAAGTAGAATCGCCGATGCGTTCCAGCGTGGAACGCATCGGGGGCCGCCCTGCATCACCAGCACCTCCCCTTCCCATTCCATATAAAAAGCAGGAAGCCGGGTCAGTATGGCGTTCTATTATTCTTCTATGAACGCCATCTGACAGCCTGCTCCCTGCTTTTTGGACCGAGAACCCCAGAGCCTGGACCTTCCTATTTTGACCCTGCTAAACAGCAAGTATACCTTCTCTGTGACTGAAACAGAGAGACTACTGCAGCTCGCCAGAGATCTGCAGTATTTATACTGGCTTGCAAGGATTTCCTATTCTTGCAGTGGATTGGACTCTCACTCCCTCTAGGGGTGAAACATATGAACTGCGATCACTATAGTTTTCCTATGGAAGTGTAACCAGTGTATGATAGGAATACTCTGAGAACTTAGAGTGCTGAAAATTCAACTCTGCTCACTTATGATTTATGCTATTTAACCGTTGTACCTTAAATTGCCATTATTTGAACTGTGAATACCCCTTGTTCACCGCGGCACATGATGGTAGGGTTCCAAACTCTCCGCTTATGACTTGAGAGTGACGCCTGGAACCCGACCCTGACGCCGTACCCTCCGCCACAACCATACCTGCTTTTAGCCTCCGCAGCTGTGATTCTTAATATTGCCACGACATTACACTTACAATATTTTATTTATTTGTAGTGAACACTATACATAGATACATTAAAATTTTAGGTTTGCACAAGGGTCAAGTGTGAAGGCCAGAATTAGCGATAGGTTACACATCAGGCACACGAGCGCTTACATTTTACTTTTCACTTGTTTTCTATGCTGAAATGTGCACTTTCCGGATAAATCCAGTTGTCTGCGTATCTGCTTATACAGATCATTTTCAAAAGCGGTTCTCACTCCAGCTAACTTTTATTTTTTTCATCATACACTCAGTTTGAATTGTCTAGGTTGTTGATGAGTTTACTTAAAAGGGGAGGTCCATCCAGAACTGTATTTCGCAGTACTGTGCATGTATTAAATGATTGCGCCAACTCTGCTTTTGTCTTTGAATCACAGTCTTATTAAACCATTTGAGAAGAAACCAAACAAAGAGCAGGCACACAGGAAAAGTGTAGAAGTGAACACTGAAAAAGTGGAGCAGACTGAAATGCAGCAGTTTTTAGAAAGGTAAATATATTATTTCATTTGTATTCAAAGCTAAAATTATAGAGATTAATATACAGCAGCCATGTACCTACATTACCTACGTCCAGCCTCTGGGCCCCATAGCAGCTGCATCATCCAGTATGGAGGTAATGGCGGCAGTAGTGGGGGTACATTCTTGCTCTATGTTGATCCTTCTAGCTAGTAATTACCTTGGACAAATAATTTAGGATACGTTCTGTGAAGCTGTAGTTCAGGCACCATGCACAGGGGCTAATGGATAGCTATCATCCCAGGCAGTACCGCTGTTGCAGACACACATCAAATCCTGTGTGTTTAGAGCCTGCATTAACTAAAATGGTAAGTGCAAGCTGTTACGCACAGAGAAAGCAAGACCCAGTAAAGCACATCTGACTGTACACAAAAGCACACGTCTATGCATTTTTCTAGGTAGTCAGATGCCCTGTGCTGTGACCTACTTTCCCTGTGCATAACTGCTTAGACTGCTATGAAAGCAATAAATGTACTGCAGCTTAGCGGTATTTTAGAAGCATAGGGGAAGCTCTAAAGCAGCCTGTGCTGAGGAAATATGTAGCCTGACATAGCTAACCTCTCCTTCTGGAAATACTTGATTGCTGGCTGTAATGCTGATCCTCTATGGTCCGTCATGTAATTCACTGACCAAGGGCAAGCATGCAAATCAGATGTGCTTTCTGCTTGCTTCTAATAGGTCAGTTCCTCAGAAAAACCAGAGGCAACTTGGCAAGTAGAATTTTTAGAAGAAGGTTAGCAATGCAGGTTTCCTTTAAACCTCCTTTGACATTAGACCTACGGGGGTCTACTTCTGACATCTTTCTAAAAAGGTAGTTGCCCGGTTGTCATATTGATCCAGTGGCTTTGATAAATCACTGGCCAGGAGCAAGCAAGAGGATCAGAAGACTCAGAGAAAAGTCAGCAGTTCTTATCTGCATGCATTCTCTGGGTCAGTAACTCACAGTATTGAACCCATAGGGTCAACCAAGCCCTTTTAATGTTTGTTAGTTATATGACTGGCCCATTCAAGGATCACTTATAGCAAAAAGTCCACCTCTGTAGAGACCTGCCATCAGCCATCCGGGGATTATGACCAAAAAAGAGCCTGTGTCATCATAGTAGGACCAGACCTAACCAATGTGCTCAAGAAACAGTGCTTTGGTGCAGCTTGCCATGAATGCATTGAACTACCCTTATTATTAGAGCCTGTGCTGGTGGGCTTTTGCTCATGTGAGACTTTGCTTCTCTTGCTATACAACTCAACGGGGAAGCAAAATCAGCTTAAGCAGGTTGATGCTTTCTCTGGGACAGTAAGTCACAGTACTGAAAGGCCCTTTTAATGTTTGCTAGCATTATGATTGGCACATTCAAGAATCACTTATAGCAAACAGTCCACCTCTGCAGACACCTGCCGTTAATAATCCGGACAGGTACACCCTTGTGAAACTGATGGTTCTAAGGAACGGGGATTATGACCACAGCCGGGCTCCTAGCATTTTCAGATAGAAAGCTCAACAATGGAGGCTTCAGTGTTCCCTGCATAACCATGGTATAAAACTAACCCAGCAGGATGATGTGCTACAAGATGTTGGTACATACTAGCACCTTATTACAATTTCTTATCAACATTATGTACCCAGGGGGCCCATGAAGCTACACATGTGTCACAATTCCATTTTGGCACACCCACAGAACAACGGAAGCAGGGAGTGTTCAAATCTGGACATTGAAGATACAGGATGTCACCAGCCCACTAAAGAAATAATTCCAAAATACATCTTCCTTGATGTATGAACACTTTGTCACAAGGATAACGATGTTCCGGGGCCACACAGGGCCCCTTTATCAGGTTTGATATGACAACGTTCAATCATGTGTGGCCCTGAAACATCGCTATCCTTGTGACAAAATGTTCAAACGTCAGTAAAGATATTTTTTTGGATGCATTTCTTTGGTGTGCTGGTGACATCCTATCTTCATTGATTTGAGGGGTGCCATCTGCAGTCAGTTCAGCACCAAGCTTCAAGGGTTATACCGGTCAGGAGTGTGGTGGGATGTTCAGTGGACTTACAGATATGGACATTGGCATACCCACCCCCCTCCTGCATCCCACAATGCAATGTAAACAGTGCAGTGACTTATGAATAGGCAATTGTATGGATTATGATATAGACCCAACTATCTAATATTTTATATACATAAATCATAAAGTGAGATTCCTGCTAGCATTTTCTATATAATATAAAGAGCAAAGTTTGTTCCACGTCTTGTGTTTATCTACCCGAGTGTGTGTAAGCACATTAAAGGGCGACGCTGCATGTTTCCGCACATCATCAGCAATGCTGTGTGTTCATTCGCAGGTGTACACAGATAATGAACTTACCTTCCGCAGCCCGCAGGCTATTTAATGAAAACGGCGCTGAGATTTTTCGTCTGGGAGACGTTAAAAGAAATCAGCTGGTAAGATGAAGCGGTTTAACGGTTTAATCTTTTCTGCATTCTGACTCGAGATCGGTATTTGTCATACTGGTTCTAAAAGATCCTCCAACGGTGTATTACAAGCCACTTAGTTACACTTCAGCGTCAGATGTACAGTGGGAAGGTACCGTGGCAGGGTTCTGAGCTGTCAGGAAGGTCATGCGGTTGATGTGGCGTGCTGAGTACAAAAGGTGCATTTTTATGACTGTAATATAATCTGTTAATCCTGAGCATCAGGTTTATGAAATAACAGCAGTAATCCCAACTCATCCAAGGAGAAGTACAAGTGCTTAGTGGGGTTTTTATGCTTATAATTTATCGTGCTGTGACTGCTGTTGCGATGTACTTTTTTCCTGAGATGATATAGAACACTGATGTGTGGCATTTACAACAGGTCTATGTGTCCTGCGGGGAGCTTTGGATTGATCCTCAGTTGTCAGCGACTGAGCAAAAGAGGCAGATTCTGCTGAGCAATCTCACTTCTGATGTTTCCTTTATTCGCAGCTACTGTTGCTTGAGAAGCCCAGAAAGTAAGTGTCCTTTATGCGTAATATCAGTCCAGATTCTTTTTAGGTATCGTCGTTCTTTATGTGCAAAATCTGCACCCAGCAAGGAAAGCAGATAATGAAAAGCACTGGTATGTGTCAAGGCAGCAATTGTATATGTGTAATAGCCCAAGCGCATATGGAACCAAATCTCTCTGTCCCTCTTTCCTCCTCAGTTGTGCCTCTTTTTGGTCTGCTGAATAGATATCTATGAAAGAGGTTCAATTTAACTACCAAAAATGTTATTCTGCAATAAAACCTTTATCTGATCTCTTAATTATCTTTATTTGTTATTTCGAAAAGCCAGTAAAAAGGAAAAGTAGGAACAAAATACATGAATGGTGATATAGTTGCCTATGGATTTATTGAAAAAAGAAGTCGGTTCCCTTAAAGCTATATAAAAGATGTCTATCTTTATAAAAAAACTCACATAAAACCTGTATTCAAATACAAAACACTCGTCTCCCAAGAACAATCCTATGCTAAAAACACCTAAAATCCCCATTCACAACCTGAGGAACCCATAGGTGGTACGGAGTGGTGCTGTGACAAAAAGATGTTTATTGTTATAAAAATAGCTTGTAGAAAATACAAAAAAATCCAGTAGAATCCTTTTATAAAGCTTTATGGCAACAGACTTCTTTTTTTAATAAATCCATAGGCAACTATATCACCATAAAGGGGGGCTATTTGTATTTTGTTTCTGGCTTTACTAATTTGGTGCAGGTTGCCTATGGATTCCTTAAAACCATATCATGATATGGGCTAAAAAAATAAGGGGGTTCTTCTCAGTTCGAGCGGTTAGGGTCTGGAACTCGTTGCCACAAGCAGTGATTTCAGCTAATAGTGTGGTATCGTTCAAGAAGCTTTTGGACGATTTTCTGAGAAACGGTAATATACAGGGGTACAAGTACTCCTAATAACGAGATGACTCAGGGATCTATATACACACACACACACACACAATAGGTTGGACTTGATGGACATGTGTCTTTATTAAACCTCAAATACTATGTAACTATGTATACGAATAGAATCTATGGTGAAGGTTGCAATCCACCAAAGCACGATAGTGCATGTTGTGTTAATTGTAAAAAGGAAAAGTAATGGAGGAAAAAAAAAGTTCTGGGTTTATCCAATCATTTTTGGCATATCATTTCCTAATGGTCCGCTTAACTGGGGCCATGGCAGGTGTGTGTCTATTGCTTTATGGCATTGTGCTGGTAGGTGTCCTTCCTTCTAATCTCAGAAAGTTGGGAGGTATGGGTATAGCTGCTGAAATCTGAGACCTGGGCACCACGTGGGGTCCTTTGGCACTTGTTGTGAGGCCCTCCTGACCCCTAGAGTTAGAAATCTGTATTGTGGTGCTTACTCAAGCCAATAAAGATAAAATAATACGTTTGCCTGTCCTCTAGTAGTTGAATGGTTTGGTTTATTTCTTTAATACTATCTTAAGTAGGATATTCACAGATAGAAATTCACACGAATGTTGGCACGAATGTGCACACGCAAACTCCTTGCAGATGGTGTCCTGACCAGTATTTGAACCAGGGACCCCCGTGCTGCAAAGGGGCTGTACTAGTAGTGATCCTTAACAGTAAATTGTAATGTATTTACAAGATTTATGAAAACAAAAACTTAATTTAGTGACAGATGGTACCATATATGTCAATTTTGATATTATCCATAGTTATGCTTTATTCTTCAATTCACTGTATAGCAACAAATTATATTTCATCTTTCACTCAATAGAAATAAGTTAGCAGATAGTCCAGCACACAGCACCAAGTCCCAATGCTTAATTTAGGGTAATTCACATACGCTTCACATTAAATAGATCGCTATCAAGTTGTGTGCTAGAGTATCTTCTAACCAATTTCCATTTAATGGAGGTGGACGGGAGCCTTGCTGTGCCCCAGTATTTCCTGTGGATCCATTGATGAGCGTAGGTCGGGCAGGTTATACATTTTATTAATTCACCTTTCACTTACTGATAAAATGAAAAACATAACTCTGATGATGTTTAGGGGCAATGGCACCCAATTTGCTTCAATATGGAAAATAATGTTGATGGGAGATAATATTTAGCTATAAATATCACTTGTAGCTAACATACAGTACACGGCTTAATTCACAAAGCTAAAACACCGAATAATATTCTTTATTTTTTTTTAAAGTGACAATTTATAGTTGCGTCCAAGAAAATTTGAAAAAAATTCACAAAAATAAAGATCCTTAGACTTATGTAAAGCATTGTGACTTGAGCCTACAATACTGTATATTAAATAATGTTTCAAGTATACCAACAATACACAACTTCATGCAACAGTAGACATTAAGACTTGCAGTAAAGATGGGACTCAGGGCATATTCCCCATCATAAAACAGGCCTGCAACACCAGAAGGCTCACAAAGACATCTGCTAACTGTCCCTTCTAAACAGCATCTGTCAGTTTCCCATGACAGTAATTGCAATAACCTCTGCTGAGTGTTTGCTAACAAAGTCCACTGCCTCTCTCTAGATCTGGCCCTGGAGGTAAATGGTGACATTGTCGCTGGAGCAAGGCTGTCAGTGAATTATTGTGCTGTTCAGGCAACCAGCGAAGAAGAAGAAGATGTTGTCGTCCAAGAGATTCAGGAGGAGCAAATCATTGTGCAGGAGAGTGATCTGGAAGAGTTTGAGTAAGTGTAAATGATAGGGAGTGAATCAGACTCAGACATTTTATATTTTGGGGACTCCAGCTTCATGGTCTCGCCATTGAAGTTCTTGGTTTTGGTTTTGTCATTTTACCATGCACAAGTCAGAATTCTTCTGCTGGACTTTATTTAATGTTAAGGCTGGACTCCATTCAAACAGCCTAACTGGGAGCTGTTTTACCCTCCAGAGGATTTGTATATCTCTCCATTCATTATTGAGATTTACGCAGCTCTGTCACACAGCATAGCCAGGTGGATGATATGCCGAGTTTGCATTGATGGAGGCATCAGGAAACAATGCCTTCCCATATTGAAATATGTGCCCTCCTACATGTCTTCAAGATTTCTTCTTTCATAATAAGAGTGTCCACACATTAAAGTTGCCCCCCCCC